GAATACTTGTGTTAGTTGGAATTGGAACAGCTATTAGTCATAGTTATTATCATGAAAGGTACTGAATGATAATGGAGAGACCTCAACAATGGAGATTCACTTCATTTGAGTGATATCTGATTAAAGTCAAATCATATGAGTTTTTGAACATAGCATTAAAAGTTTGTTTCAAATATTCAAGATTGCTTGAAATAGCAACTGCAAGGAAAATACCAAATATGTTAATCAAAGTCAAAAATATTATAATAAATACATTTTTAAAACAGGAAAATAGATCCCAACATATGAAAATATATTTTAAACTTGCATGTTTCTAACAAATGAACAACTGTTGCTATATGGGATGGGGAGTCACCTTCAATCCAAAAGTTGTGGTTGAGTTTCCCCCTTTTCAAATGTGTCCCTGGACATGGCCTTAGCTTTAAGTTGGCCAACAATCTGTGCACCGATGTGCATCCACTAAGGATGCCACTTATTGATTAATTAAAATGGACACTAACTGTGATATACTGTAGCTCTCCCTTTTCAGTGCAATCCAATAATCATTACTGGGAGAGATGCTGTTAGCAGTGCTTTTAAACAGGTGGTTCTGGTTGCTCTCAAGAGGAATGTTAAAACGTGGGTGTCTGAAGTAAACTAACCGAGAAAAGCCTTCTTCTACCATGCTAATTGCTAGCAGGTCATTTTCTATGAAGTTACAAATGTTTTTCTTTATACCCTTCACTTTTCTATCAATACATTCTGGCCCTCCTTGACAAGTTGATGCTGCTTTGCCATGCAGCAAAAATGGCACCTAGGTAGGCCATAACCTAAGGAGTTCACTGAGTGTTTATATTTACAAGCAGAACCACATAGAGTATATTCTGCATCCTTATCGTCTGAAATCTTGCATATTTTGGACAAGACTGTCAATCAGTTCATGCTTCTGTTTTAGCATGCCTCTGCTCTCCTGCAGACTAAACAGCTGCACCCTCAAATGATGGGAAAATATCTATCTAATGATACTGTAATTCTGAGCTAATTTTTCTGTTTGTGCCCCTAGTATCCAAATTTGTGAACATTTTAAGGTCAACCTGCCTAAATTATAAAGCTCTTTAAATTGCTATGACCAGAAAAGTTCTATACGAATTTAGTCTATTTTCCATACATATCCCCAGCAGATGGTTTTAAATCCAGCTGCTTTGAAATATTGCATAATAATTATTGTCCTTGTTGGATCTTTAATTTGTTGTATTTTAAATTTTTCTTAATATTTCTCCTCAATATTCTAATAAAGAACCCTCATTCGGAGCTTTGGTAAAAAAAAACTAAATTGAAAAATCAGTCAATGCACTCAAATTAAGATGTTAAATCTTATTTTATGCATGCATTCCCCTTAAGGCTGTTCTGCATAAAACTGTCTCTTCTTTTTGAAGCCTCCTCCAATTTCTGTGGCTTTGACATAGCCTTAGGCCAAGTGAATTTGTTAAAATTCAACTAAGTGATGAACCAAAATGTCTGACTACACTGGCCTTATTGAAGGAATCTCTTTTGATACTTCCTCCATAATGGTTCAATTTGTTGGAGTTTATTTATTTCCATCTATTAGAGTTTTAGAGCCCATCATGATTTGCAGGTGTTAGGTGATTTCAGGTTATTAAAAATCATGCAATCATTACAGGTCTTTGGATTAGGACTGGCTTATAAAAACACATAAATGCAAAATAGTGTGTCTGATTTTAATTTAAAAGAATAATCAGCGAAAAAAAGCAATTATATGGTGTGTGTAAACTAGAAAGAAATGTATATAGTTAAACCCAAATGGAAGATACACTTTAGTGTTTTTATATTTCTTACTTTAAATGTTTTGGTTTTTTTTGTTTGTTTTTTTTTTTTAAGTGGATAAGATTATCAGTTTCATGTTTGTAAGGTGAATATTTATTTAGCTGTTTCTTTTTATGACATAAAGTTCCTTTTATTCTATTTATCTTGTTTGGTGCGTTTGTGCATTTGAATGTAGCAAACCTAATACATAAGTAGATTGGGCCTGTGACCATAGTTAGATTTTAAAAGTGAATGAACCTTACCCAGTTGTTTTAGAAAAGGACAGGTCCTCGGGTGTCCAATAAGCGTTACGCTAATAGGTTTGCTTTTCATGTTCATTAATTATACCTCTTTCTAAAGACACTTCACTAACTAGTGTTTGCTCTTCAACTCTTCTAATTACAGCTTTTTGTTAAGTTTTCATTATTCAAAAGGCAGCCTTTTTTTCTCAATCAGATGAATTTAGTCAAATTAACACCCCCGGAAGCACAGAGAACCATGCTCTTATTCTTCAAACAGTTAATCACATAGATCTACTTTTTTTTCTTCAGGATAGTCAAAACAAGATATAGTGCTTTAAAAACTGCCTGATTGTCTTCGCAGGTTGCTGTACTGTATATCTTCTGCTACAGTGTGTATTTTAAAGTCTGTCTTGACTTGAGATGTCAATCTTTGCTCTGAGCAGAAAATTGATAAGCAGCACTAATATATAGGAAGTAAAAACTGCAAAAAAAAAAAACATCAGCAAATATTTTTGAATCAGAATTGGATATACACTGAGAAAGACTGCAGATGTTATAATGGATAATGGTATAAGAAAATAGATATTTACAAGATATGGCAAACCAATGAGGTTTCTGAAAAAATAAAATAGCTATAGGTCACTTGCACTACTGCTGGGCTTACTGTAGATAGACAACTTTTAATAAAATGCTGCTGATTTAAAGCATTGTTCCACAACGTGGACTTAATTGTATTTTGAGTAATTATATCAGGATCTGACCAGATAATTTATTTTAAACGAATATGTTTGATTTTTGGGGGGGAAAAAAAGAATAGTAAATGAGATTTTAGAAGTGTTCATATTGTAAGAAGCCTTAAGACTATATACATATATTCTTTTTTGTGAATTTGTGCTATATGGGGAACATTCTTTACCTTTTATCCACAAGCACTGTTGGAACACTAGCTTACCGGTACTGATCTCGTATGGAGCACACAACACACAAGCTGTCGTGCATCAGAGAATGTGGAGTTGCTATAAAATGGTGTTGCCATGGCAGTCCATACATCATATTTTAGAGCTATCTTGCATGTAGAGTGTTGGGGCTTTTGTGTCAGTGAAATGCCTTAAAAGTGGGATGTTATATCCACAAAACACTCCACAGGATGAAACTGGTTCTGGACAATGGTTCATTTCTCCATGCAAGCTGCAATTTATTTCGCAATCACTTTGCCTTTTGTGAGTTTGGTGAGTGCTTTAATATTGCTTGCTTGTTATATCTCTGGCAATTGCATCTTTAAGTCGGCTGTATTAGGGTTTTCGTATTTTCATGTTTCAAAACATTTCAGCTTAGTTTATTCAGATTTTTAATGGTTTAGGTTTTATCTTAAACATGTTTACCTTTAATGCAAAGGATGTTTGTTGCATTTCTTGCTCAGCTGATTTCTTGCAACTTTGCTATGTGTCCCCCATAAGTTGTCCTTGTGTCACAGTTATGTGCTTCTGTGTTTCACCTCTCCTATTTTACAGAATTAAGTCATGTATTTCCAAAAAAATAACAACGTTCTATTTGTAGAGATACTGATAAAAGTTCTCAAGAAAGTAAAGGTCATAAAATGTCCTTGAAGCAAACACAAGAACAATAGGAATCAGGGAGATTTTGATTTATTACAGATTATATTATCTATAGGTAATCTGATGACATTCATTTTCTTATCATCCAGCTCTAGTGCAATATAGAGAAAATGCATTTTGATTAAATGAAGAAAACCAAAATTTGGGTTTGGAATTCAAATAATGCATCATCAATAATGTTTTACAGTCGCAGTTACATGACTTAAGCGATGATCCTCAAAAATTTTAAATATTAGTTGCAATATTGGTAAACATTGCTGCAGATAAGAATCTTGCCTGTATGTTTAAACTAATCTAAATTCTTCACTTTTACCTAAAAAATCAATAGTATTGTTTATATCTTGTCTTAAATTAACCTATTTTTCTCTCTTATATGTACAATGTATTTAAATTGCAATACTAGAGCCAGGATACAGGAAATTAAAGTAAAGTGGACTTTATGTTTTAAATGACTCATAATTAATAGAGGAAACAAGCTATTTACATCCATCCATTTTCTGTCACGCTTATTATGCCTGCTAGGGTCACAAGGGTTGCTGGTGGCTATCTCCAGCTGTCAATGGGCGAGAGGCGGGGTACACCCTGAACAGGTCACCAGTCTATTGCAGGGTAACACAGAGACAAACAGGACAAACAACCATTCAGGCACACACTCTCACCCAAGGAGAATTTAGAGAAGCCGGTTAACCTAACAGTCATGTTTTTGGACTGTAGGAGGAAGCCGGAGTACCTGGAGAGAACCCACACATGCACAGGGAGAACATGCAAACCTCAGGCAGAACTTAGATCCTTCTTGCTGCAAGGCAGCAGCACTACCCACTGCTCTACCATGCAGCCCTGATAAGCTATTTACACCTTTTTTTATTTCAGTGTTTGCTTTCTTGTGAAGGCAATGAGAGGTACTTCAGGAAATAATAGGTAGACGTGGTTACTCGCAATTCTTTTCAAAGAGTTGTTTTACCAGACAGCTAAAAAAAAACAAAAAAAAACTATATATATATATATATGTATATATACACTGTGTGTATTACACCTGCAGCAAACCACTTCTGTTCATCTGATCAGGTCAGGTATTAAATGTTTATTATTATCAATATTAAGGAATTTATTACCGCACTTATATCAATCAAAATAAAGCTTGGGTACCACTATGGTTTTCCTAAGGTCTTATTGTCTGTTAGAGATAAGAGCTTTGAAGCTCATGCTGGACCAGAATAAGGCAGGATTATAGAAAACCCTTCTTTGTGTGTTAGATTTTCCTTTTGGCTTTTCAAACAGGGTTTTATGGGTTTGTTGTTCAGCCTTGTGAAAGCTTTCCTCCCTTTTCCTTATATTCTAGTTCTGCTGCGTGAAGAGGTGGCCCAACTCCAGGAGGAGGTGCACCTGCTTCGGCAGATGAAGGACATGTTGAGCAAGGACCTGGAGGAAACCCAAGGAGGCTGCTCGGCTGATGTCCTCTCTGCCACGGAGCTCCGAGTGCAACTGGCCCAGAAAGAGGAGGAACTTAATCGAGCCAAGGAGGCTTTACAAGGTAAGATGTGAAACTAGGAGACATTAAGCTGTGTGTTGAAACAGAAAAATACTGTAACAAATAGTATGAAAGTTTTTTTATGGTAGTTTCCTGTAAAATGGTTTAAACAATTTACACTTTTCCATGCTGATGTCACAAACTTCAATGTGTTTTCTTGGTATTTTATGTATTTAATTGTCTCAGAGTAGTAAGCAATAGGTAAGTGGAAGGAAAGTGAGAACATAGTTTTCAATGGTTTTTGGCAAATAAGCCATTAAATGTAATGTTAGCACCTTCATGATGTGGGTATGCTTGTCTTCAGTGGGGTAGGGTAGATGGAGGCTGAGTAGAGCTGATGAGAAGATCGATGGAACTATAAACAAGGAAAATCACTTGAAAAACCTGTTATAGACACCCAACAAGGGGAACAAAAGACATCCCATGAGAAATGTGGTAAGGGGCTCCCCTATGATGAATTTAGGGAGAAGTTTACAGGTCTGCCAGAAAAGCATTGGACTCTTTGTTCAGAAGTGGAACAGTTAAAAGTGAGATATACTTCAGTTATCTAAAGTTGATAACAGTGAAGACATAAGTGTTTAATTGTGTGTGCATATTGAATACAGGATAATAAGTTGTGGATAAGGCATCTGAAGCTGTGTTCTAGGAAGTTCTCTACTCCCCACTGAAAAAAAAAATTTGAAATTGCCTAGGCTTAAAAGTAGCATTTATAGTTTACGTCAACAATTAAATGATAACAAAATAAACTTGCCTTACCAGCATGAACAGTGTATTGTTGATTCATTTTTTTTAATCTATTTTTTTATAATCATTTTATCACCTTATTTTTTACTGTATCTACTATGCAAATGCAAATTATATTTCTCTCTCTTTTCCTATTGTTTTTTATGCACTGTACAGCACTTTGCTTCTGAAAGTAAAATGTCCCTTGCCTTTCACCAAAACTTCAACCAAAATAGACCCACACACAAAAGTTGTTGATTTTGTATGCCACTGGCAGTTTGTGGTCATAATAAAGAGCTGTTGGAGGTAATGATAATAACAGTTAGTAGAAAATTTGTGATGATGATAATAATTAAAATTTTCAAAGGAAAATACAGCAAACACAATTTAAAAACAAACTAGCACAATGTTTGTGACCACAGTGTCCATAATCAACATGGCTTATGCATTACATTAGCAGAATTTGGAAATTAGCATTTGTTATGTTTCAAAGGTGAATCTGTGGCATGTGAGTGAGAGAGCATACCAGTACCTTGACTCCTTCTTTTTGATGTTCTTTTTCTCTTACCCCCTGGCTCCATCCATATACAGACAGTTTTGTTTCTTATCAAAAGCAAAAAAGTTCTCTCTTTGAATTAATATTTTAACTGGAACAGATCAAACTTTTTGAGTTTCTATCTTTTTCATTTGTTGAGGTTAGTTCTATAGGAAGTAAGTTGTAAAAGCTTAATAATATCATATTTATCATCTCCACCATGACTGCTCTTTTATATATATATATATATATATATATATATATATATATATATATATATATATATATATATATATATATATATAAAACAAGTGCTTCCATTTTTAAAAAGCCATCTTATTGTTGAAGGTGAAGCTGGAAAATCTGGAAGTAATAATTTCTTATTATCACACCCACTTTGGTGCCGTGGGTCAGCACCACCGGTAGAAAAGGTCCTTATCATTATGCTGCCAGACCTAATGCTTACACTCATGTGCGAGTCTGTGTAAATAGAACGGCACAACAAACACATAAGTCAATTCTGGGTTTAACTTTAACAAGATCCATTATCAAATTTTAGGACAAAATATCTAGAAGCCAAATGATCAAGTGTGGATGGCAGGCAACACATTGCCACAACAATTGAATAATCATAGCCATCATAATTTTGTTTGAAGCAAATCAGAAACTTCTCTATGCTTCATGTTTTTCTGTTTTTGTGTTAAGTGATGTGTCTCTGTTGACAATCTAGTTCTGTCACAGTTTAAAGGATTTTTTTGCAAATGGGAATATGGCTCAGAAAAGTAGGGAAAATGACAGGGAATGAGTTTCTGCCAGGCACTGTTCGGTGGATTGCAGGGCTTCAAGCTGAGATGTCATCAGAAAAGCAATGATTCATTCTTTTCAAAGAAAATATCACCCATGAAATGAGGCACAGAGCAAAACTATCACTTGGAATCTCACAAAAGCTCTACATGCTGTCAGGAGATTTTGTTCCGGCAACATTTTTCACTTGACACCTGCAAGATTGCACTCCCTGGGAAATTTGAACTATAAACAAATGCTTATAAATACTTCTCTCTCTCTCATTTCCTTGTTAAAATACTTAAACGGCTCCTGACAGCCCTCATACCATCATTTGAACGATGCAAGCTTTTTAATAAAAGTTAAAGCCTACCAGCCCCTTTAGGCTGAGGCAGTAACCAACCGCTAATAAAAGCTTGATAAAATGGGACTAACTAAGGGTCAAGAAATGTTAAGCATAGTAGATCAGTTAAAATGGGGGTAACAGGAGAACTAGAGGAAATTGGATGTTGGGATGTTTAAGTTTTTTTGTCTTGGGGTCAATTGAAAGGGTATGATCTCATAAAAGAATATCTTCTTGTTGCTGTTATTTTTTTTTGTGAACATGTTTTGCAAGATTTATTTAGTTAGAAAACAGGCCAGTGTATAAGCTGAACCTTGACCAGAGCATGACTCATAGAGAAATATGCATTTAATTTGCATTAAGGTCACAACAGGGAGATAACAGTTTTCCTCGTGAACCAGCCTGAACAGGTGGAGCTGTATCTCAGCTAATGTTTCACTGGTCTATCAAATGTTTGTAAACTGAGGCTATTGATTACCATCCATCCATCCAGTATCTGACACCCTTTATTCCAAGTGGGGTCGCAAGGGGTGCTGGTGTCTATCTCCAGCTGTCAACGGGCGAGAGGCGGGGTACACCCTGGACAGGTCACCAGTCCATCACAGGGCAACACAGAGACAAACAGCCATTCAGACTCACACTCACACCTAAGGAACATTTAGAGAAGCCAATTAACCTAACAGTCATGTTTTTGGACTATGGGAGGAAGCCAGAGTACCTGGAGAGAATACATGCACAAGGAGAACATGCAAACTCCATGCAGATAGGCCCCAGGCCAGGAATCAAACCCAAAACCTTCTTGCTGCAAGGCAGCAGTGCTACCCACTGCACCAATTATCAATGTTTATAAAATAATTGATACATTTAAATTGGAATAAAGTTGTCTTTTCAACTGTTTTTCCATTCAATTAAATACATTTGAAAATTATTGTAATTTCTGGACTGTCCAATCAGTAAATGGTCATAACTTTTTTTTATTTAATGTCAGAAAATATATGTATATTTTTTTTTTTGTGAAGGCCTTGGAGAACATTAGTCAAGAAACAGGATCATGACCCCTAGTAAAGTTTACAAAACAATAACTGGCATCCTGTGAAGATTTCTCAGAACTTTGTTCAGTCCTTCATCCAAATATAAAAAGAAGATGGCATAAATGGTTGCCTACATAGCTGCGTACTAAATCTGGTAAACGTCATCATTAAAATAAGCTATGCCCATGCCAGTTTATGGCCCATGCCAGGTAAATCAGGCAGGTGGACACATCTGTGAAAAAAAACTTCTGTATTACAAGATGATGGCAATGTTGTTTAATTTGTTCAGTGAAATGTTGAAGTATTAAGAGAGGATACATGGGCAATCATGCAGTGCATCTCATCAATCATTGTGCATCTCCTAAAATTGCCACTTCTGGAAGAGGCATTTTCTTTCACTCAAAGTACATAATGAATCTTTTTTTTCTGTAAGTAAACTAATTCTATAAACATTTGACTGGAACCTGAATTTAATTAGATGATATTTTGATCTAAATAAGGGACAGTATCTTTTTCCAAGGCAACCCTATTTGCTGCCTTCAATGCATATTAGACATTGTAGCATGCTGAGGTGCTGGAGAGATTACTGGACTTCAGCCTCTGAAAGGTGCATTAGAAGCTTCTGAACAGAATAGGTTAAACATGGGCGCTGCTCATTTAAAACACCTTGTTAAACCCACACTACAATATGTTAGTTGTTTGACAGAACGGAATAGGGAAATATTTTTGATGTTTGCCTAGATGCAACCTTTGCACTCTTTGTCAGAAGCCTTGTAAAGAACAAAGCAAACATGAAGTAGAAGTTACATTATAATTAAACTTCTTGGCTTCAATGCAAAACTGCATTTCATGTGACTACATTTGCAAATCAGGTAAACAAAAGCATCAAAATACTTAGAGCTGTTGTCATTTTTGATTCTACTAACCATTAAAAGGGATTAAATACACATCCGCACCAGACTTTTTTTTCTATGTCTCATGTTCCTTCCATTTCATAAAGCTGTATTACTTAGTACTGGTACATCTCAGTCATCCAGGTCATAGTCATTTTTAGCTTTTCTGGAATACGGTGAACCATTTAACTTGTTAAGTTTTTCAGGTTCCAGTAATACTCTAGCGCCATTGAGTGCTAGATGTTTTTTTGTTTTTTTTTAAAGGCAGCAACAGCCTTAATTAACTGTATTTTATGCTGGAAGCAGGCTGTGAAGGAGATTAGATGCTCTTTTTCTCCAGTCTTTACCACCACCTCTGTTGTCATAGTTATGAAAACATGCAAATGAAGCATAGAAACAATAGTGAATAAGCATGGAAGTGAGCTGCTAAGGCAAATAAAAATATTGACTCTTAAATTCCCCCAGAGTTGTGTTAAATAAAATGCAAGTTGCAGAGATGACGAAACAACATCTGCAAGCATGTCACAGAACAGACTTCAACTCCTACCTGGTTTCATTGAAGTTATGTGTCAAATTGCTGGATTCAGTTCCACAGTTTGTAAATATGCTTCTTTCTTACTGTCAAAAGAAACAATCCACTCTGATCTGAATCCCAGTTTTGAAGCGTCTTTGAGCCTTAAGTGTATTATATTTAC